TATTCGGAGGGCGCAGCGGTCGCGGGTCTGCCACGCTTTGTCGAGCTGCCGCTGTTGGCATTTATTTCTTTTTCTTTTTCTTTGGGCTTGATGTGCTGCTCGCCCCGGCATTGCGATGTGTTTAATGGTGGTTTGCTTTGAAATACAAAGTGAAGGAAAACCCCTTTTTCAGCTAAAATTCGAGATTACAAGCCCCCCCTCCCCCTCCCGTTTAACCATGTCAATTATTTGCTCTGTTTCTCTCATTATATATCAAGGTGACAATATTTACTTTAACATTTGTGAGCCGTTTTGGCATTAGGTACGAACATTTTGATCACAAGGTGTACGTGTCTATGTCATCGCCGTATCAACAGAACCACAAATCCTAACAAAGAACGGTGGATGTTGTGTGACGTGACCAACGGACGACTCAGGTGGCTCGCCAACCGCACCCTCTTTCCGACGCATCGGGAGGTCGGCTCGCTAGCACCAACCGAAGAGGCCACCCCGACCCGGTGGGACACCAGAGAGTGCTTCTATATATTACCGTTTGTGTTGCGGGGAATGTCGTTGCCACTACACGAGTTTTCTCTGTGGCCTGCTCTTCTACTATCACACTATATCGGCAACGCGCCTTGGCGCGAGGATGCCGGTCCCAACGATATGGTCAACCGATGGAAGATCAAATGGCATGATGTATCAGTATGAAGGCAAGTTTTAGCACATGTAACAGAACAACTGATTATCTGGCCGGTTCAAGAGTAAGAAGAAACATTCAATATGTACCAGAAGAGTAACATCGATCATCAAGTTAAACATGGGCATGAGACTATCAAAGTTAACCCGTGCCAGAAGCAAGGCAGCATCCACTACGGTCATACGAATAGAAAAACTAATTAGTTAACATTAAGTTCAGTAATATGAGCAGAAACATAAGAAAGAAAAGGCCAACAATGGCAATGGAGGCAATAAAACTACGAAGCCATAGTTAGGCATACAATAGATAGCTTGGCTCAATTGCCTCCGTGAGTGCCATTCCATATGAACTTGATGTGAATAGTTTGTGATATAGATGACCACAAAATTATTTTTGTATAGGCAATGCACTTGAGATTTGTTTTTAAAGCATATGGACAGTGAGCGATGGTTTCCCCCTTCTAATCTTGGAAGGCGAAGACCCAGATCTGTTATTCTTTGATCCCTGCCGCCTCGAAAAAAAATTTAAGACCAAGAGGATTGTTGTCAGCTTGGACCTAGCAAGATATGTCATAGTAATCATTAAGCAATCACATTGGTAAGCAACACTGGAGGGCACAGTAGAACCAAATATATACATGTTGACCATATCTTAATCATGATAGATCCAGTTTTCTGAAAATATAAACAACGAAGCTTCTATCAAGCCTAAACCCACTACTGGAAGCAAAGTAAATTTCCTTATATGCAGTGACTCTACCGTCAGTTTGGTTTGTTTGCCTGTGTGGGTGTTGACTTGCTTCAGAAGTCATAGATACAAATAGAAGCATAATATGTGGTTTTAGAAAATATATCAAGTTCTAAAGATAAATAAAACTACTTTCAATATATATAGTAGATGCCATTGCAGATAGCACTCCAATACTAACATTAGAAAAGGTAATCTGGTTTTGGTCACACCGTCAAAAAATTAGATAAACACCAGATGGCAAACAAAATACATGTTAAGCCTCCATCCTTGTGATTATTGTTTTTCTTGTTCCAGAGCTCCTGTACAAATGATTTACATGGTGATCCGGAAAAAGTTGAAGCAAGCATATAAATAGTGACCCTCCTAGTGAGTGAACAAAATGTAAAAAAAACTCATTTTCATTTAGTGCAAACTATGATTCAATCTTTCTTCTTTTTCCAACAAAAATGTTAATATTCAGAAGGTAGTTGGAGACAGGGCTACACCTTATGAAGGTTTTAATCTTACGGTTCAATGAATTGCATAGGCAGAGCACACAGTTGATGGATTCAAACTATTTTTAAGAGATGATGTGGCAAGGCTAAGAAGATGAAAATAATTAAGAAGAAAAGTTCATGCTCAACAACTTACGAAGATTTAACTGGGTAGCGCCTCATGGCAGTCATCAACCTTTGAGCCGTAGAACCGTAAGATCAAACTGAGACTCAAGCCTGCATAACCATAGCAAGAAAAGGATCATCAACAAAGAGGACAAAGTGAATCAGGAACCAGTTCCTGGTTCCTCTAAAAAATCATTCTAAATGACAAACTGTGAGAAGAAAAAAGAACTGGTCTAATGACATAGATGTGTTAAACGGCAAACACTACCAAGTCAGATCAAATAATCAGCCTATTTCTGTCCCTTTTCAATATTAAGAACGATTATTAAGTAACCAGGTACATAACAAAAACAAATAATGCCTACATAGTAGTTCATCTCTCTTAATACATCTACACTGATTTTGATGTGTAGTTTAGGACCAATGGAAAACCAGAAAAACACAAACAACTCACACAATAAAGCTAAAACTAAATACTGCACGCCGTCGAGACCTATCTGGCGTGCAACATCTGTCACTACAGAAGGACATCGGCGTCAATCACAGCGGTAGGGCCATCAGCATAGCCAACACGAATTGCAGGCCGAACCACGGTCGCAGCTACTGACTCCAACATATTTTTGAACGTAGATATGATACATGATTGAGAATACCTAATCAGTAAAGCACCACTACCCAACCATAAACATAGAGGAAGTAATATGAGCCGAAATCTCTAATGGCATGAAAAAATTAGAGCATGTTTGACATATCATTTTAAACTACAAATATGAAATAAACTACAGCCAAGAAAGAAAACTAAGTAGCTAGAGAGCATACACTGCTTTCTAATAGGAAAGAAGGTAATTTAACTGGCAAGGTACTGCCACTGACTCCAACATGAAAGAATGAAGAAAACTTTTTTAATCAACCTCTGCCATGCTCATGTTTCTTTTGTAGTCAGTAGAGTAGTTGCAACCATGCGCATATCACTAGCAAAAAAAAAGAGAAGGTCACGACTTACTTAATGTTTGACGGCGGCAAGAGCCACGATGGCATCGGCGGCGGTGGTGGCGTCCGATCGCCAACAACCATGCATATATCAAGTGCCATGATATGTGAGGCAAGACATAGGAATACAAGAGGGAAACAAAACAGAGGCACACATGATGCATACTTTACCATACAAACTTAAGGCAGCAAGAGAGGCCCCTATAACTTGCTGGGAGCATGTCTTTCTAGTATAACAAAGTGCAGCTTACTCTTAACCAGATTAAATCAAGGACCAACAACAAACAATAAAAGATCAAGAACAACTCATATGCAATAAAGGTATGAGAGAGAAGAAATCTTTACATAAGACGACTATAAACACCGGAGCATAAATAAGCAACACCTTTAAATACAAATAAAAAGGATCCAGGGTTCATTGCATAGTGGGCACAGATCTGACTTTCCTCGATCATATAACCTACCCCCGTCTCTTATCACCAGATCAATCTTTTTATACAGTGGAGCTTCCCTGGTTATCACTCAACAAGAATGACCATCCAAGGACAGAGCAACAAGTATCACAGGATCAAAAAGGATTCTAGAGACAAGAGGGAGGATTCAACTTGATACCCACATGTGCCTCGATTGCTCGAAGGCACACTTATTTCAGACACGGCTAATCATCATCGCCCCAGCACGAAAGCCATCGGAGCATAAATAAGTAACACCTTTAAGTACAAATAAAAATAGTTCAGGGTTCATTGCATTGTGGGCTCAGATTCGGCTTTCCTCGATCATATAACCTACCCCCGTCATCTTTTATCATAGATCAATCTGTTTATACAATGGAGCTGCCCTGGTTATCACTCAACAAGAATGACCATCCTAGGACAGAACAACAAGTATCACAGGATCAAAAAGGACTCCAGAGACAAGAGGGAGGATCCAGCTTGATACCCACGGGTGCCTCGATTGCTCAAAGGCACACTTATTTCAGTCAAGGTTGTCAGGACCCGAGTGCCTCTGTCTGAAGATCCGATCGCTGCAAATAGGATTCAGTTAATTCAAACCCGTCCGAACAGGCGGGAAACGTCAGGAGCCACACATCTTCGATCGCACGGCCGAGACGTCGTCGTACCACTTCGCCAGTTATGATGACCCGACGAGCGTCCGATCTTCATCGTGTGGCGGGGACTGCCCTGGAGGTCGATGTTCCCTTTCTGGCAAAGACCGCAACGTTTCTCTCCTTTTTGTTTTGCTTTTGCTCTTCTTTTTCCTTCCCTTTGTAAGGCTATAAAGCCAGGAGTTGGGATCGAGGTTAGGTATCTTTTTTGTTAGGGTTTCCCCCTTGCCGCCGCCAGTGTTCCTGGTCGGCTAGAACCTCTGTAACGAGCTAGACTCGCTAATCATTCCTCTGAAATTCAAGCTAAACTCCACTAGTTCAGTCTCTGTTTTACTGAATTCCATGCTTGGCGGCGGTGGAGTTGGAGGAGCCGTAAAATCCTTCACTTCCCACCGGACAATCTTGGCGGCAGTGTAGCTGACAGCGGCGGTGCAGGCGGCGGCAGGATCTACGGTCAAGGTCGGGTTGCAGCAAGTGCTATGAGAAATCGAGAGCAGGACAGACAGGACTTCAAGGACTTCAGGGACCATGTGCAAGACAACTTCCAGTCAATGCAGAAGTCTTTGGGGGAATTACAGGGCACACTTAACAAATTTATCTCTAGATTTCCAAAACCACATGAAACCCCACCCATTCCCAAGATATCCCTCAAGGCAGTGGACAAAATCATACACCACAAGGCCCAGTGCTTCGGCCAGTCGATGGCCTCCAAACCCCTCCTACTGCAGGCTCTGTAACTTTGGTGGATAAGCACACTGGAAAAGAACTTAACTTGGATGGCAGCACCAAAATTTCGTACAGGCACCCCCACTTTGCGGACAACAAACTTCTCCCACCTAATGCCAGAGCAACTACTGCAATTCCTAAAATAGGAAACATGCAACAAATCACTCAGTTAGAACAAGAGCAAGCTGAGGAGCAGGTTCAGCAAATAGCTGGCAGAGGGGGCAATGCACAGAGAGATCAAGTCCAAGACAACAGAAGACCTCTGACTTTGGTGAAACCTGCTAAGTATAACATACCGGAGTTTGATGGCAGTGGAACTGACTCTTGGATCCAAACCATTGAAATGTACTTTGAAGCTGCTAGGACACCACTGGAGCAGAAAACTGAAATTGTTGTCACTTACTTAAAGGGGCCAGCAATAGAGTGGTGGAGAGGAACTGGAATTATTGCCAATACCCTACCCTGGTACAGGTTCTGTAGACTGATTGGAGACAGGTTTTCCGAAACTTCAGTATATGACAATGTCAGAACTTTTCATGCTCTCAACCAAACTGGGTCTGTTAATGACTATGTGCTCAAGTTTGAACAGTCCATGAACTTACTCAGGAGGGACAACCCTGCACTGCCTGCTGATTATTACAAAGCTAGTTTCATTGCTGGTCTGAGTGACACTATCCAACATTATGTTCAATGTCATGAACCAGCAGACCTACAAAAAGCTATCTGGTTGGCCAGAAGAATGGAACAAGCTCAGCCCAGCAAGAAAACACCAGTGGCTTATATTAATCAGCCAGTTAGAAGGCAACTTCAGTTGGACCTAGGAAAGCCACCTCCTAACAACACACCTACTGTCATCCAACGGGCCAGAATGAAAGGAATCTGCTACCAGTGCAAAGAACCATGGTTTCCTGGCCACAAGAAAGTTTGCAAATTGGCAAATCAAATGCAGATACAAGCCTTGCAAGAGACCTGCCCTGAGGATGCAGAACTGGTCTACTACACTGCTGATGATACTGAAGCTCCACCTCCCACTGACTTGGATGACACTCCCTTGCAAATCTCCATGCATGCCCTCATGGGAGTCACTTCCTCCAAGCTGAGTTTCACTGTTACAGTCATGTTGGGAGACAGACCTGCAACTGACCTCATTGACAGTGGCAGCACCGCAACATTTGTAACTCCTGCACTTGCAAAGCTGGCTCTGTGTGCTCTTACTCCAACTAAGAAAAAGAAAGTGTTAGTTGCCAATGGAGCAACTCTATGGACTGAATTCATTGCCACCCAGTGCCCTTTTGTGGTGCAAGGAACTAAATTTTCCCATGATTTCCGAGTCCTACAGTTGCAAGGTTATGATGTGATATTGTGAGCTGATTGGATGAAAACTGTTAGTCCTGTCCAGCTAGATTTTGAGGAAATGGAAGTGCAAGTCACACTGAAATCAGGAGAAAAGAAAATCTTCAAGGATGAAAGCTTACCCAGTGAGCCAGTTCAAGAAATGGACAGCATGGAGCACTTATCTGATGACACTATCTGTGGGGCTGTGTTGCTACTAAACAAAATTGCTCTGACAGAACATAAGGACACTGTTGTTCCCCTACCTGTCCAAGAACTTCTAGGTCAGTACAAGGATATTTTTGGAACTCCTACTGATTTACCTCCTAAGAGAAATGTTGATCATGCAATTCCTTTTGAACATGGTGCAAAAGTTATAAACCAAAGGCCATACAGATTACCTTATCACCAAAAGGAAGCTATGGAAAATATCATTCAGGAAATGATTAAAAATAAGGTAATCAAAGATAGTTCAAGTCCTTACTCCTCTCCTGCAATTTTGGTGAAAAAGAAAGATCTATCTTGGAGACTTTGCAATGACTTCAAAAAGGTCAATACTCAGACTATCAAAAACAAATACCCCATCCCTGTTATTGAGGATTTGTTGGATGAATTGCATGGAGCCACTGTTTTCACTAAGCTTGATCTCAGAAGTGGATACCATCAGATCAGAATGAAGGAAGAGGATATTGAGAAAACTGCTTTTAGCACTCACTGTGGGCACTATGAATACTTGGTTATGCCCTTTGGTTTAACCAATGCTCCTGCAACTTTCCAAATGCTCATGAATACTATCTTAGCCAAGTATCTCAGAAAATTTGTACTAGTATTCTTTGATGATATTTTGGTGTTCAGTAAAAATATGAAGGAGCACATAATCCACTTGCAACAAATATTTGAAACTCTCAAGGAACACCAGCTGTATATTAAAGCAAGCAAATGTGTCTTTGCTCAGCCTCAGGTGGAGTACTTGGGACATGTTATTAGGGCTGATGGAGTTGCAACTGACCCAGTCAAAATTCAGGCTGTACAGCAATGGCCAGAACCTGAAAATGTCACACAGCTCAGGAGCTTTTTAGGGTTGACAAGTTACTATAGAAGATTTGTGGAAAAGTATGGACTCATTTGCAGGCCACTGTTTAACTCCCTGAAAAAGGACAGTTTCACTTGGGGGCAAGAGCAAGTTCAAGCTTTCAATACCCTGAAGAACAAAATGACACAAGCCCCAGTGTTGGCCCTACCAGACTTCTCCAAGCCTTTCATCTTGGAAACAGATGCTTGTGCCTATGGACTGGGTGCAGTTCTAATGCAAGAGGGGAGACCTATTTCCTTTTTCAGTAAAGCAATTGGCCCTAGAGCAGCTGCATATTCCACTTATGACAAGGAAGCTTTAGCAATTATTGAAGCTCTCAAGCACTGGAAACATTATTTTGTTGCATCCTCTCTCATAATCAGAACTGATCAACAGAGTTTAAAATATATACAAGAACAAAAACTCACCGAGGATTCAGCACAAGCTTCTGGTCAAACTCCTTGGCTACAATTACACTGTGGAGTACAAGCAGGGCAAGAAAAATAAAGTGGCTGATGCCCTTTCCAGGGTGCACCACAAAATTCATGCTCTAATTGCTTCTACTGTCAAACCTGCCTGGGTAACTGAAGTTGTTGACAGCTACAAGAATGACCAAATATGCAAGGATCTCCTAGCTCAACTAACTATAAACCCTGATTCTGTGCCCAACTACACTGTGCAACAGGGTGTGCTCAGATACAAAAATAGAATTGTCGTTGGAGCTGATAACACCATCAGAACTAAATTGCAAGCTGCTTTACATAGCTCTGAACTTGGTGGCCATTCTGGTAAAAGAGCTACATACCAAAGAGTTAAGCTTCTCTTCCATTGGCCTGGCATGAAGCAATTTGTTGTTGACTATATTAAACAATGCCCAACCTGTCAAATAAACAAAGCTGAACACTGCAAGTACCCTGGGCTGCTCCAACCTCTGCCAGTCCCAGACTTTGCCTGGTGCCACATAAGCATGGATTTTATGGAAGGTCTTCCTACTTCTCACAACAAGAACATGATTTTGGTTGTGGTGGACAGGTTCACTAAATACAACCACTTTATCCCAATGAAACACCCCATTACAGCTAATACTGTAGCTAAGGCTTTCACTGATAACATCTTCAAACTCCATGGGTTACCAGCTGTGATTGTCACTGACAGAGACAAAATCTTCACTAGCAAGCTCTGGCAGGACTTGTTCAAGAAGTTGGGAATAAAATTACACATGAGCACTTCGTACCACCCTCAGTCTGATGGTCAGACAGAGAGAGTTAACCAATGCTTGGAAAATTATCTCAGATGCATGGCTTTCATCCAACCACAAAAGTGGCTCAACTGGTTATCCCTAGCAGAGTGGTGGTACAACACTAGCTATCACACAGCTCTCAAGATCACCCCATTCCAAGCCTTGCATGGCAGACCTCCTCATATGTTAGCTGAATCTGCTCTTTATCCTGTGGAAGAACTGGAACAGTTCCCTGATGTACTCACTGCTGAACAAACCGCAGCACATATTAAAGAACACCTCTTGAGGGCTCAAGCCAGAATGAAACATTACGCTGTCAAGAAGAGATCTGAGAGAACATTGGAAGTTGGTGACATGGTATACCTAAAACTACAACCTTACAGGCATACCACTCTCAGTATCCATAGATGTCCCAAGTTGCATTCCAAATTTTATGGCCCATTCAGAGTTATCCTGAAAGTTGGTACAATGGCTTACAAGCTCCTTCTTCCTGACGATTGCAAACTGCATGATACTTTTCATGTGAGCCAGCTCAAGAAGCATATTGGCCCAATGGCGATTCCAAACCCCAAGCTCCCCTTGCTCAACCCGGATGGAACAATCTTACTAGAACCAGAACAACTGCTCGAACGCAAACTGGTACCGCGTGTGCAAGGCAACATCAGTATCCCCGTGGTTCGATGGCTCATCAAATGGAGTAATCTACCTCTGGAGGAGGCCACTTGGGAGGACGCCACATTCATACAAAAAGTGTTTCCTAATTTCCAGCCCTGAGGACAGGTCTGATCTGGAAGGGGGGGAGTTGTCAGGACCCGAGTGCCTCTGTCTGAAGATCCGATCGCTGCAAATAGGATTCAGTTAATTCAAACCCGTCCGAACAGGCGGGAAACATCAGGAGCCACACATCTTCGATCGCACGGCCGAGACGTCGTCGTACCGCTTCACCAGTTATGATGACCTGACGAGCGTCCGATCTTCATCGTGTGGCGGGGACTGCCCTGGAGGTCGCTGTTCCCTTTCCGGCAAAGACCACAACGTTTCTCTCCTTTCTGTTTTGCTTTTGCTCTTCTTTTTCCTTCCCTTTGTAAGGCTATAAAGCCAGGAGTTGGGATCGAGGTTAGGTATCTTTTTTGTTAGGGTTTCCCCCTTGCCGCCGCCAGTGTTCCTGGTCGGCTAGAACCTCTGTAACGAGCTAGACTCGCTAATCATTCCTCTGAAATTCAAGCTAAACTCCACTAGTTCAGTCTCTGTTTTACCGAATTCCATGCTTCAGACCACCTGGGTCTGACAGGTTGATCATCATCGCCCTAGAACGAACACTACTGGTCAATTTAGCAAATCCAGGAGCATAACTATACAACCAGAGCATCCACATGTAAACCAGATCATTGCAAGAACTCCTATTATAGAAACCAAACATGAACTCAGCCTGCAAACCCTAGAATAGCATGCATCTACAACTAAAGAGCTCAAGTAGGAACCGATGCATGAGCAGGGAATAGAGCATCAACCAGACGAGCACCACATCAATATAGCCACGGCCATGTCCAATGCAGTAGCCGAAGCAGATGAGCAGGAGGAAGATGGAGCTCACCAAGGGAGGTTGTAGCCGAGGCAGTACTCAGTGGGCACCGGGTTGCGCCTGAACACCGTCCAACCAGCGAGGAACCACGTCGGAGTTACGCCTTGCACTGCCCCGCCGACGAGCCTGCATACCATAGGAAGAAAAGGATCATCAGCCAAATTAGGAACCAGTTCCTGGTGAAGAAAAAAGAACATATTCTGATTCCTATAAAAATCAACTTTAGATGACAACCCCTGGTAAGAAAAATCAAGAAGCAACAATCTTAAAGGGAGTAGCATCGATCCCTAAGCCACACAAGCATCATACAGCAGCAACTACAACCTACACCATAGGGGGGGAATCCATAAATGCAAGGCATAAGTGGGAAAAATTGCAACAGATGCAAGGAAGAATATATTACCAGGAGTCTAAAATAATATTTTCATTCAGCAAGGTGCCATGGCTGAGTATGCTTGCCCATCCTAATTGTCAATCCTTAAGACAAACTATTTTGTGCATAACGGTGAACATTTTTATCTTTCTACAGTAAGAAATAAAAGGTTTATTATGGCATTTCATAAATGATTTAGTCGCGCCTCAACATATAAGAAGTAACAATAAACCAGAAGAAACAATTATGTCTTTGCTTTCCCTCTATATAAGTAAGAATAAAAGGTTTATTATGGCATTTCATAAATGATTTAGTCGCACCTCAACATATAAGAAGTAACAATAAACCAGAAGAAACAATTATGTCTTTGCTTTCCCTCTATATAAAGAATGTCCTTATTATTCCTAGGAGGCATGTTGCCATCAAGTTTCTTGTTGAACTGCCTAATTTCGACATTTAACAATGATGCATATCATTTAAGAAGACTAAATACCTTGCCACTACAACCATAGTCACCGTCATCAACTTGCACATCCTAATTTTGACATAGTAACCTTTAATAATGATCGGAACCTGTATTGAGAACCTAGTCGCCGTCAACCACTACAACCATAAACAACACAAATAAATGATGTAACCAGCTCATACAAATTTGTGGTTTTTCTTCTCTGCGGAGCTTATACTAATATTTTGTCAGGACCCCGACTCAATGCGACATCGATCTAGCATGTAACACCTCATATCACTTTGCGGCCTCACGCACGGTA